TGTATGTATGTATGTATAGAGAGATATGTAAGCTGATAGGCGACCACAGCAATAATTGGATATGTATATAGTTTTTACATTGACATATGCATACATATATATATATATAGATAGATAGATATGTAATTTGCAATAGATAGATAGAAAGATAGATAGTGTTCCTTGAGCGGCTCTAGAAGGATTCGATAGTTCCTTGACCCACGACCTTGGTGTTCGTTTTGCGGGCTCTGTTTTCTGCACAGTACCTAGGACCTATATCGAAAGCACCCGTTCCTCGAACTCGAAGCATAAGTCCAGAAACTTACAACTTGACTACCAAACCCTAAACCCTAATCCCTAAACTCCGTAGTCAAGGCCCTCAAAAAACACCGTCACGACTCTCCCTGAAAGGGTGGACACGGTTCATCGCCGTGCGAAAAGGGGCGCCAGGCCTATTCAGGGTCTCCCGACTCAGGGACTTTCGCGACATTGAGTGCCAGTGCTCGGGCACCCTATTTGGAGTCCAAGACAGTGTTTTTTTGCAGCTCCCTTCTCAGGGTCGCGGCGAGTGGCCATTGGTCCCCTTTACACAGCCTTCGTCTTGGCACCTCGGGCTGAGGGTGGAGTTTCTGATGACACAAAGTTTAAAAGGAGTCTCTACGAATGCCCACTTGGGCATTTTCGACTTCTTGAGTGGCTTGCATTCTACGCTTACTGTTGATGTATGCTGACGTACAGAGACAGCATATTAAGCCAGAGTTTAGATGCAGATCCAGGTATCCATATAGAATATACATACAGGGGCACGCACATGGATAGTTTCAAAATGCGACCTGGAAGTACGCTACAACTGACATGCAGGCTTTCCCTTGCCTTCTCTCCATTTAGTCGTGAGTAATGGGAATGCTTCGCACTTGCAAGAGCATCCCTGACATCCACCGACAGTAAAAGCAACAGCTGCAGATGCAATATCCCCAGCAATTAAGCCGTTCGGAGAATACACTTGCACTGCAAGGTCGCAGCGATCTGTCTGCTCGGGTCACTGTGGCGTCAGCCAAAGCGCTTGCAGCTGCAGGCCTTCGTTCCGTTCTTGGTAGCTGGCAATGTGTCGGAGCTACAGACTGGGGTGGCAAGTCTGCATTTTGCAAGCATGATAGCAGCCGTGTGCTGAGCACCATGCGACATGCGAAGCGTGCCATGGCACTACCTTTAAAGTAAGCGTGCATGAAAACTAGGAGACTGGAACATGAGCGAATCCAAAAGAGCAATACCGCAGTGCCTGTTCCGTGAGGAAGCCGTCCATGGTCAATTCTCTTGGGCGGCTGAGGGTGCCTGGAACCTCGTCTTCGGTTAACGCGCATCCTTTTATTGAAAAATCGTGCCGGTTGGGGGGCTGTGTACTGGCGCCTGGCAGCGGAAGCAGCATCATGAGGGCGAAACACGGGCTGGTGCGTCGAAGGTAGGTTTGTGTCGGTCGCTCTTTTCCTGTCCCAGCCCTGATCGCCATGGCTCAGTCCCGAAAGTGTGCAGCCCTGGCCGCTGGCTCCGCGGCCGTGGTGCTGTTGGGCGCGCCGGCCTTCACCACCAGCCCCGTCGGGAGCGAGAGCTTGGCCTCCGCGCCGCGCAGCTACGGCCAGGCCCACACTCAGGGCGCCTCAGTCGGAGCCGCCGGAGCCTCGGCCTGCTCGGTCGCTTCCATGACGGGCCTGCTGGCGCTGGGCGCCGTTGGTGCCTCCAGGGCGAAGGTGGCAAGGGCGGCCGTGCTGACCAAGGACGACCAGGGGCGCTTCCGCTTTGAGGCGCCGGAGGTGCCCTTGGTGCCTCAAGAGCAGCCTGGTGCCGTCGCTCCCTTGGGCTTCTTTGATCCGCTGGGTTTCAGCAAGAGTGGCCTCATGACCTTCCCGGGTGATTCCACGGGCTTCAAGCACCTCCGGGCCGCAGAGATCAAGTTCGAAGCTGAGTCACATCATGCCTCATCTCTTCTCACCGCAGCGTGCTTCTGACCGTCGGCAGTCTGCTAGCTAGTCACACCGCACGCCTGCTTTCTAAGGCACGGGCGGTTTGCCATGATGGCTGCAACTGGGTCCTTGTTCGCGACCTTCGTCAAGTTTCCGGGCTTCGAGGACGTGCCCACCGGATTGGCGGCTCTCAGCAACCCCAAGGGTTTGGAAGGCTTCTCGCTCCTCTTCTTCTTGATCGCAGGCCACGAGGCAGTGACATGGAAGCCCGTGAAGGAGCCGGGAAGCTTCGGCGACCCCTTCAAGTGGAACCAGTTCACTTCGGAGATGCGCACCAAGGAGCTAACCCCACGCCCTGAATCCTAAAAATTTCCGGAAGCTCTAGAGTCCCTTACATGCTAAGACCTAAGAAGCTTGAAACCCTAAAGCCCTACAACCATGAACCCTAGACCCTGAACCTTTATAGTAATCCTCAGAAGCCCTCATGGCACAACCTTTGCAAAAGTAACCCTTGTAGAGCCCTTCAAGGAGCCCTTTTAAAGCAGCCCCTAAATCCCAAAGCGCCCAGGAGCTGAACAACGGGCGCATTGCCATGTTCGCCATCATCGGACAAATCGCTGCCGAGCTTCAGACTGGTAGCTTGGTCAGTGTTAGGGATCCGTTTTTTTTACTTGTTGGCAAGGGCTCTCAGCCTTCTTGTCAAGGCCTTCTAGAAAGGCTTATAGGGTTTGATCTGGCGGCTGAGGGCTTGCAGGCTTCGGATTTAGGGAGTTTAGGGATCCTCGTTACGTTCGGAAGGGTTCTTATCATGGTCGCAAAAATGTATTGTGCTGTAGGCTTTTCAGACGGGGTTTGAGGTCTTAAGGGTTTGGGAGTCTTTCTTGAATTTAGCAAGGGTTCTTATCGAAAAGGCTCTGGCAGGGTTTATGGGGGCTGGGCCTTTAGGGGTTTGGGGATCCACTTTTTGTGGTTTGGGTTCCCCAATATATTTCTCGAAGAGAGCCTTTAATCTTTGAGTCCTAACGACCACCCAGGCAAGGGGCCCGTTGAGCAGTTCACGGGCTGAGCTGAGCTTAGCTGCGCCTCTTTTTTCTCAGGTAAAGGCCAGCATGCTACTTAGGGTTTAGGGTAATTGGGCTTAGGGTTTTGGGATGTTTGGGCTTAGGGTTTTGGGGTGTTGTGGTTCAGGGTAGAGTGGAATACTTGGCTTATTTCTCGACCGTACAGGTCTCTGAGAAATGCGAACAGCGGTCAGAAGCTACTCTTCCGCAGCTTCGACCGATGCACTGTCATAGGACACGTCGGATCGCGTGATCGCGAGGAAAACCAGGGGTGCAGCGGAAGCTTGTTCTAGAGCCACCAGCGTTCCAGTTCTTCCTCATGTAGCAGCGGTTCTGGTTTTCATGTCAACCAGGCCTGACTCCCCTCCATGAAAGTTCGTCATGCGGATGTGTACTGGTGCCTGTCCTTCATGGGTGCCTCTGCTCTACCATTCCGCAGGAGCAAGGCGTTGCCGGGACCTCAGGAAGTGTAGGCCTTGTGGATGCATGCGTTTGGATTCTCCACAACAAGTAAGATGAGCCTGCGAATCTGATGTTGCAAGAGCGCAGTCTGCAGGCAGCCAACTACAACGACTTCAAGCAATGGATGCAGAGGCTACCAGATCTCCGAGAGGTTGTAAGGACTCCTCTCCCATGCAGCCTTCATTTCAGAATCTTGAGCATCGCTTCTTCAAGGCGCTCTGAGTGTCAGTTCGTAGCTCAGAGCTGGACGCGGTGTTGGCAGGTATGGCCACTCTGGGCCTCGACCTTACAGGGAGTCCTGGCAGAAGCTTGAAGCGCATGCCAGCGGTCAGACGCACATGCCGCTTGCACTGCGACTGCTGCCTGCTAGCAGCGTTGCAAGCGCTGGCAGGCATGATGACGACGTCTCCAGCTTTCAGCATCCGGGCTCTAAAGTTGAAGCTATCAGTCATCACTCGTTCGTCGTTGTGCCCGTGGAGACAGGCTGCTATTGCTGATAACTTATGCATATTTTCTGCTGTACCTTCGTCTCCAGACATCAGTATATCGTTGAACGGAGTGCATGACCGCATGTGACCGAGCTGGTCGTGGAAAGCTGATTACGCTTCCCCGACTGCGAGCCCTGACGTCAAGCACGTTGCAATGATGACTCATCGTAACATCGGCGAGCGTCTTCAAGAGTCCGAGCCAAGGAAGTACCTGGAGTTCATGGAGTACAAGAAGACTTCCAAGGCATGATCCAGTAATCTGCACTACGCAGCAACCGGCAGCAACAATGGCCGGTGCTGCCGCTACCATGATGTCGGCGTGTTCAACTTCGTGCGTACACTGTCGAATTCGATCTCGTGCGTACAGGAGCAAACGCCCGACGAGGCGCAGGGCTACCAGGAGGGGAGTTACTCACTTGATGTTAGCTGTTTCCAGATGGGCGACTCTGGCTGCACTGCTGCGACAGCGATAGCCAGATAGCCCCAACTGCAAGGGAGGAGTTCCCCGGGTTTCAAGAAGCATCTCCAGGACTTTTCGAAGTACTTGACTGGGCACGGAGGTGGCCCCGTGGACTTCCAGGACCTGCGCCTGCGCTGGCCTTTGGATGAAGGAAGGGAGTCTTGATGTTTCAGGTGTTTTGCAACGTGCTCTCATGTTGGTTGTCTTGGGGTGTTCGGTGCAAGTTGGGGCGGTGCGACATCGAATTCCTGCCACATTGCTCTGAGAGGGCCTCTGCAGGAGTACATGGACTACGACAAGTACATGGCGAAGCACGAACAGTACGAGGACTATGAGACAGCTACTCTTGACGAACGCTGAGTAGAGAGCGGGCCTCGGGCCCTCCTGCGGCATTCTGTGACTCTGTGCAGGACTTCTCGAAGTACATGACGATGCAGGCTCAGGGTAGGTCCTTACCACGACAGGGTTCAAAGACACACTGACAAGATTTCAAAACACAACGACAAGCTAATTTCTTACACTGACAAGGGTTTAGGCTTAACCTTATTGCAGTATGTGCTGGTGTGGAGTGGAGTTCATGCCTTGTCGTGGTGAGGGTTTTATGCCTTGTCGTGGTGAGAATTTCAATGCGCTGTCATGGTGAAATTGTTTTTCTGTCGTGGTGCCAATATTTCTTGTTGTGGTGCGGAGTCTTTGTTTCTGTGGTGGTAACAACGCGCTCTCCTATCAGGCTTCTGGGCATTCTGACGTTGCTGTGGCTGCTCCGCCCTTTCCTCCTGCTAGGGCGGATCGACTCCGTCCTTCGACGAGTACCTGAACTTCCAGCAGTACACTGCAGGCGGCATCCCGAGCTGAGGGAGGCTTCGGAGTTTGTTCGGACCCGGGTGGAAAAGACGGAGCAGGCCAGCAAGCTCCTGCCGCTCCGGACTACCAGCACTACCTGAACGTGCCAAAGTTCACGAGCGGCGGAAAGGACGCACAGCACCCTCACCCGAATCTGCCAGCTTGCCCATGCCTTGAGCCTGGCGCTGCAGGACGTGCCGCAGGACTTCCAGCACATGGCAGAGCCAGAGACTTTGGGCTGCCGATGCCGTTGTTCTAAAGTTGCAATACTCGCAACATCTCGCAACGAGCGTCCTGGCCCGTAAGGTTTCAGCACTATCTGAAGAGCCATGGCGGTCGAGATCTCGGAAGGTACTGCAACGGTGACGGTCGAGGGCAGTGTTTGGCCCTGGAAGGGCCCGACGTCTTTAAGACAGGGACTCATTTCAGGTTTCACGGTGATGGTGCCCTTTCTGTCGTCTATTTAGCCAGTTGGTGAGAGCATAGCCTGAAAAGCCTTGGACTCTGAACAAGGGTTGCGGGGGCTTGCGCTCTGCAGGCCCCACCCTACAAGGCCTTGCCTAAAGCGCCATGTTCGGAAAGAACCAGGACCTCGCCACTGCAGGCGCATATCCTCAGATACTGCACACCCGCCCGACACAGCAGTAAGATGCATCCCGTCAAACTCCGTCGAGCCCCCAAATTTTCCGCCAAACCCCGACCCTCCGACAGGGGCTTCAGATTCCTTTCCAACCGAGGCCAGACCCCCGTCTCCTTTGCTGCAGACGAGGCCTCTTAAGAGGACGAAGGGCCCTCTTGATCCCTCTTGTTTGAGCTTTAGGTTTCAGGGAAGGCGATGGGGGGTCAGGCATCGGGTTCTCGTGGTCTCTTCTTGCTGCAAAAGCCTAGCAAAATAAAACCCCAAACCTCGCATTCAAAGGCTCCAAAGGTCACCAAGCAAGGGCCCGGTCTGACTTCCCGGCCTGCTCTCATGGCCAGGCAAACAAGTCGAAATCGAAATCCTCGCATTCACACCACGAGCAGGCGGCAGAGGACACGCTTGCAGGGAAGACCTGGAGTGCATTAGAAGCGATGCTAGTGAACTATTGAGCTACATACGGAGCAAAGCGGTCTCGCCCCACTACTATCAGCATTCCTGCCGCCGCCAGCACCACCACCACCACCTCCTCCTCCTCCTCCTTCTTCTTCTTGTTCGTCTTCTTCATCACCGCCATCATCATCATCATCCTCATCATCATCATCATCATCCTCATCATCATGGTCATCATCATCATCATCATCACCGTCATCACCATCACCATCATCGTCATTATCATCATCATCGTCATGATCGTCACGAGAATGATCAACATTGACAACCCATTCTAGTTTTTTGGTTGTGTTTTTGAGCTGTCTTCGTGTTCGTAAGACTGATTCTTCTTGATCATCTCTCCACTCTTCTACTGCTACCATGATCGTCATATTCGTCATCAATCTAGCCACGACGACTGCCACCATGATCCTCATCATAACTGTCTCCGTAGTCATCATCACCGCCATGGTTTCAAGCTTTTCCTTTTGTTACTACCGGCATCATCCTCGCCACCACCATCAGCATCATAGTCACGATCCGCGACATCGTCAGAACGGCGAGGCCACCAGGATCACTGTAGCTATAGAAACAGAGTGCCGGTGGCCTTTGGGCGCTGCCGAAACCTGAGCCCATCTGCAACACTGTCGGCCCGCTTGTCATAGCCATGCAAGTAGAACCAAACATGCAGCCGGGTTGCTGTACTCACCATTGTTGACCCCGAGCTCCGCAGCCGCAGGAGGCTCCGAAGCCGAAAGCGCAGGAGCCCGCGCAGAGCTCGCAGCTCCGCAGCAGGGCTCTCCCCCTCCGAGACTAGGGCACTTGGCTAGTAGGCGATCCTGGCTTTTTCAGAGCTTGAATGCCGGGTATGTAGTTGTAGCAGGAAGCACGGAGCTGTGGAAGTACTGCCCTGAAGCTCCGGCTCATCTCTCCGCTTTACTTGTGTGGGCAGTTCTCTTGGATCCCTGCAGAGCCGGCAGCGTTGTACTCTTTAAATGGGTAGTGCATGGAGCCAACGGAATAGTGAATCCTGTGCTCCAGTACCCCTTCGAGGGCACCTTTGAAATCTAAGGGGATACATGGACTACCAGAAGTACATGAGCGGGGTGTCTCGTCGGAACCTGTCATGGTTGAGGCCAAAGGGTTTCAAGAGGATGCGGTGGCATCAGTCGTTGACTCGCTTGCTGTAACGAAGCGTGGAAGTTTGTGCTCGAGAGCACGAAATGGATGGGTCTGTGTTGCGTTTGCATTCCAAACTTTAGGGATGTGCACTGGCGAGGGTGCAGTGAATCCAGTGAGGAAAGGTAAGCCGGTAAGCTACGAGGTCGCAGAAACAGGGTATTCATCACAGGCAGTCTTTGTGGGATGCGGACCGTGACAGCCCCACAGCAAAAGAAGGACTGGTCCAAGTACATGGGCGGAAGCGGCGGAAGCGGCATGGGCGGCATGAATTTCCAGCAGTACATGGACTATCAGCTGCTCGGCTGAGCCATTGGGCTTTTGTTTCGGACTGCCTGGCTTTCGGCGTGACTTCTGACGGGCTGGAAGGAAGGGCTGCTGCATGTCTGTGTGAGGCAGTGCGAGTTGTTGGTGTCGGGAACCTCTGCTTGCGCCGCATGCGTGCTCTTCTTGGCCTGGCCTGCTGTGTGTCGCTGAGGAAGTACATGCAAGGACATGCTTCCTCTGGAGGATCCTACCAGCAGCAGTGACTTGCCTGCCTGTAGAAGTTCTATATCTGCATCTACTCTACCTCCAGAAGCCTGCCATGGATAGATTGCAAGAAGTGCGTGGCACGTGTTCCAGACCGCTGAAGAAGCATCAGTTAGTGCCCGGGCTGATTCCAGGGTTACTTTGCTGTCAGGCTCCGTCTCCTACCGTTGCGTTCTTGCATGTTCTTCTTGTGCAATGCATCGGGTGCAGAAGATACCGCCAAACCCGGTGTGCGATTTCGGCCAAGGTACATGGACTACTCCAAGTACGTCCACGGTCAGGGCCACAAGGCGGATGCCGGCAGCCTGCGGTGGTGCATGACGCTTCAAGATGTTGGGCACTTCGGGCTAAGGTTTCCTGGGTCGCCCAAACTAAAAAGGGGACGCGGCTGCGCACCTGATTTCCGCTGGGTTTGTCGGCTTCTGCTGTGTGGCTGAAGGGGCCAAAGGGATAGCTCGAGACACTGATCCTTAATCGTCATAGGGCCCTTATGGAACCTCTTCATGAAACCCCTTTGTCTTCCAGCACCCAGAAGGAACCCTTAGTTAACCTTCGTAGATTCCCATCTCTGCTGGCTCTGCGAAGAGGCCATGGACTTCAAGCAGTACATGGACTTTCAGAAGTACATGAAGCAGAGCGGAAATAGCCAGGCCACACGGAGAGCTCCGGTTTCGCTGTGGTCTTTGCCTTTTCGGGCGCTTCGTAGTGAGGGCTCGGAAGGGGCCCACTGTTTTTCAAAACTTCTGCACCAGGCTGGGCCCGTCAGCTTCATGGACTACTCCCAGTACACAGGCAAAAGACCAAAAGAAGCGCTTCGGGTCGTTTGCAGTTTCAGCTTCAGATGTGGTGGGGGATTCGGAGTGCACTCGTGTCGTTTCGGAGCTGGAGATCGGGAGCACACTCATAGCTCTTGCATGTAGCAGGGTCTTCGGATAATCAAGATGCGTTTGTCTGAGAAAGCTGTTGCATGTTGATTCCCACGGGGTGGCATGTTTCTCCTGCAGGTGGTGCTGCAGACTATCAGCTTCTTGGCAGTGCCAGGTTGTAGGTTGGGCTTGTGGATCGAAGGTGCTGCTAGACCCGGATAGCGCTGCTTCGTGTGATGGCGGCTCACTTCTCCTTGTGAGTTGTAGTGCAGTGAAGATGCGTGGAATCTGGAACCGGAAGCCTCCCTCGACGGCCCTAAGGGAGCTGCGAGCTCGTGGCTCCTTGTAAGCACCAGGAAGTACATGGACTTCAAGAAGGACATGGACTGGCAGCAGTACATGAACTACCAGCAGTTCATGTCAGGCGCTTCCTTGATTGTTGTACAGCTCTTCGGAGAGGGCTTGAGGACGACCGCAGTCGCCGTCGCGGCGGGTAGTCAGCGTTGTGCCGCCGCTGTTCCGAAAGCTACTGCTGCACTCCGCGACTGCCAGCACCACCACCATAACTACCACGACGACAGGCGGCATTTGTTGCTGCCATTACTTCACCTCATTGTCCTACTACTGCTACTCCTCCTCCTCCTCCTCCTACTGCTGCTGCTGCTGCTGCTGCTGCTGCTAAAACTGCTACTCCTCCTCCTCCTCCTACTACTACTGCTACTGCTACTGCTACTGCTACTGCTACTGCTACTGCCTCTACTACTAGTACCACCAACAACTGCAACCTCAACGACAACGGCTCTTGCTGCTACTACTACTACTACTACCACCACCACCACGACTACTACTATTACTACTACTACTACTACTACTACTACTACTCCTGCTGCTGCTGCTGCTGCTGCTGCTGCTACCTACTGCTGCTGCTATTGC